AACAATTTTGTAACACTGCGGTTTCCACTCCAGCCCTGTCAAAATGGCAGAGCGCTGATTATTTGTGACAGGAGGCATTTGTACTAAGAGATTTTTGAAAGCAGTACAGTCTTTCTTTGTGTGAAGGAGTTGAGAAATAAAAATAATAAAAAACCCCAACAAAACCCCTTCTTTTCATTGTGCGCTGCCAAGCAAAACGATCCCAGAAACATGCTCTCTTTATTCCTTAACTGATGGAAATTACATTAGAGGGAAACCCAGCACAAAGGACGTTTTGGCAGGGAAATGTGCCTTTTAGTTTGCATTCCATAAAAACTTCCAAAGATGTATTGATTGAAGTCTGCAAAGATGCTCCTCCATATACCCATATATTGTGTCCGCTATAATTCCTGCCTAATCTACCTTCCATATTTGTCATTTAAAACAAATAACATTCCATCTTTAATTATTTTAAATGAACAAAGTTAAAGGAAATCCAGAACTAAGAAAATAACACTGTCCCACTGTACCTAGATATTATATTGTATCCATGATATAGAACAGGGGTCAGCAACCTTTCAGAAGTGGTGTGCCGAGTCTTCATTTATTCACTCTCATTTAAGGTTTCACGTGCCAGTAATACATTTTAACATTTTTAGAAGGTCTCTTTCTATAAGTCTATAATATATAACTAAACTATTGTTGTATGTAAAGTAAATAAGGTTTTTAAAATGTTTAAGAAGCTTCATTTAAAATTAAATTAAAATGCAGAGCCCCCCGGACCGGTGGCCAGTATCCGGGCAGTGCGAGTGCCACTGAAAATCAGCTCGCGTGCCGTGCTATAGGTTGCCTACCCCTGATATAGAAGTTATCACCCTACTTCCATCTGACTTTCTGTCCATTTCAGAAAAAAAAATATTATCTTAAAAGGGTAGCCAATTTTTCCTTATTTATTAACTCAAAAATGGTGCCCATTACAGTAAGTTGCAAGTGTATATACAATCGTTGTTACACAATAAAAAGTCACAATAAATGAAGAAATGACTGATTTGTGAAATTTCCTTTTATAAACCTGAAAATTAAGACTATTCCTCTTGTTGGTTTTGTTCTTTTCTGCCGGCAACCCTGATTTTTTCCTACCACTTCTAATGGGACTGGAAGTTCAAAAAGCCTTTTGATTAAATTTGTGCACCATTTTTCAGTGATGGCAACAGCGGTCTGGAATAGCTTTTTGTTAGTAAACAGATGGCTTGCTGGCTCTGCACT